TTCGTATAATACTCATATTATTTTATTATAAGATCTATTATGATATAATGTCATTATAATTATTTATACAATTATAGATGTAGTCTTCTTCTTCTTTTTGTTTTATGTAATTAAAATATTTAATGTATGTTAATATTGTTTATTAATGTAATTAATTAAAATTACGTAAATAAATTTAAAGTAAAATAATTTGTACAAACATTTTACAGAATATACACAAATGTTTTTTTTTAGAATTTATTTTTATTTCTTATGATAAATAAACATCTTTGAAATTCTATGCTATTATTAAACATCCTTGATATAACATCATGCATGGATTCTATGCAATTATTAATTCCGTTCGATGTTATGGGAAACAAATAATTTGGAAATTTAACAAAATGATAAGGAACTTTAAAATTTAAATTTTGAATAAGACATGTTCTTACTTGAATTCTATGTAATTATTATTTTGTTCAATTTTATGGCAAACAATTCATTCAAAATTTTAATATAACAAAATGATAAGAACTTTTAATAATTAAATTTAAATTTGAAATGAGACATGTTTTTACTTGAAGTATGTCTATCTGTCCAATTTTATTGCAAAACACATCAATTAAGGATGATATTAATGCAGACTGATTTTTTAGCTATAAAATAATAATACAATTGAAAAAAAATGATGGAAATAGAATTCATTAATTGCCTTTGACTTTTTTTCATACTAATTCTAGTAAATGCGATGACTTTTAATATAAGTATAGATACCAAAAGAATAAAAAAAGAAAAAGAAAAAACACAGCGCTATCCATTATTCTATATTTCATTGACATGTCAGAACTTCTTGTTTTATCTTCACGAAACGTGTGTATTGTGTACTATCAGTGTTTTGTGACCCGGACCGGCCCGGCGGGTCGATTGAGGACCCGGTCTACCCGGAGCCGGAACCGGTCCGGGTGGGCTAATTGGACCGGGCAACAATAGACCCGGTCAAACCTGGTCTAAACCCGGTCTTGACCCGGCCTTGACCGGTCGACCCGGGGCATTGACCCGACTGGGTCAACCCGGTTGACCCGGTTCCTATATGTATTTTTTTTTTATTTTTTTTTAAAAAAATAAAATTATGTATATATATTTATATAGTAAATATATACATATTATTACCACTTTAATCTACAAATTTTACATACAAAACATTTAAATTTGTTATTTTTATATATATTTATATATCACAAATACTCTATATATAATTTTATAAATTTTAAAATTAATTATCCGGTTCAACAATTAACCCGGTGACCCGGCGGTTGAACCGGTGACCCAGTGAGCCGGAGACCTGTCCGGGTCGATTACCAGGCCGAGTTTAAAAACTATGTGTACTATTTAGGATTTGAGGCATCACTATTATTCATCACTTAAATAATTGAAACAATGGGAAATGTTAGTTTAAACTATGAGATGTAGACGTGGCCAGGTGCCGGTTACCGGCCCAACCCGGCAGGCCACGGGCCCTCCAACATATGACCCGCAACCGGCCTGTTTAAAAACCACGGGCCGGTTCACAATACCGGCCCGAACCGCCGGTTCACGGGCCGATACAATCCTTAAAAAAAAAACTTTAACAAGGTGGCCTGCCGTCCGACCCAGACTGACCCGGCCCGGACCGGTGGGACCAAAATATAAAAAGGAACCGGGACCGAACCGCGGCCCTACGGGTCCCAGTTCAATGAACCGGCCCTTAAGAGGTCGGTTCGGGCCGTGCCAGTACCGATTCGTGGCTCGGGCCACGGACCGGTTCAGCCTGTGACCATGTCTAATGAGATGAATAGAGCCGAACTTCATTATTATCACTATGAAGTATTTGGAGAGGTTAGAGTTATTAAAACCGAATCGAATTGTTTGTGGGTTCGGCTTATTTTAATTTGAATTCGGTTCAACTTATTTTATAATTGAATTGAGCTCAAACTTGTTTAAAACTCGTTTAGTAAATGAGTCAAGTTAAAGTTAAAAATAGAATTCTCGTGTAAGTTTTTGAAATTTTTAGTTCAACTTAAACTCGAACTCGAGCATGAGAAGCTCAAACTGGACTTGGATGTGAGGTGTTACTAACATTTTATAAGGAGATGTTACGATCCTGTTATAGAACTACTCCATCGGGGTTTGTAACCATTAGATCAACTATCTCCGACGGTTATATGATGATCAAACGGTTACAACTCCAACGGAATGGATCAGTAACATGACCGTAGCATTTTCCCATTTTATAAGGTGTAGAAATAATTATTTTACAAAGAATATATATTACTATATATTACCCGAAAGGACGCGAGTAGGCCCGAGTGAAGGCCCTAATGCCGTTTTTCGAGTTCGGTGAAGGTAAGCTTGTGTTTACCAATTTTTCTAGTCATCTCATGATATTATAAGAATTATCATGTAAAGAAATCACTCAACGAACATGCTTTAGTATAAGTTTTGAATTTTTGAATCATTAAGACTTAAATTAAAAAATTTTATAGTAAGCATGTTTTAGCCAAGATTGATAGCTCACTAATACTTATAAATCATGTCTTGATGTTGGTTAAGCTATAGCAAGTTTAGAGTTTATGTACTTGATCATTTACTTGAGAATTTAGCTCATTTTGCTCGTCCGAGTCAAGTTTAGTTCTCTCTGAGCAAAAGCCAACATTTCAGTATTAAAAGGCATGATTTATGTAGTAATTGAGTTTTTCCTGAGGAAATTCTGAAGTTGAGCTAGTTTGTTCGGGAATTTGGTTTCGTAGGTGCCATATAGGCCCTACCGGGCCATTTCAGTTTATAGCCGAGGTCTCTCGGGACTTTTGTGCATTTTTGAGTTAGATAAGTTTTTTTGAGTTGAATGATGTTGCAATGTCCCGGAGTAAGTCGTCGGACGGCCGGTAGGTCCGGTCGGAGTCGCGGGCCGTGCACATAGCGTGTGCCGCGCCAGCTCAGGCATTCAAAGGTTAAGTAACCTCGACCTCGCGCGCGGGCCCAGTCGTGTGTCGCGCATAGTCGCGGTGCAAGCCGGTAGCGTCCGACAGTGCTCAGTTAGAGACCGCGTGCGTAGCCCGGCACCAGTAGCGCCCAGTGAGTGCAGGCAGCGCCCGACAGCGCATAGCCAGCCTCAGCGCGCGTAGTCCCGACCCCAGTCACCTATGCAGTATAGAGGTTAACCCACAAGTCTTAACTATGTTCAGAGGTTAACTGGTTGTGCTCAGCAACACGCAGTGTCTCCAGTAGCACGCCAATGTGTCCAGTAGCACGCTAGCGTGCCAAAAGCATGCCAACGTGTTCAGTTGCCCGTTAGTGGTGTCCATCAGCATCAGGTAGACACCAGGCGCGCCAGTGTTTACAAAGAATATATATTACTACCTCATATTTTTAATATATGTCGTTTTGAGAAGTTGCACACTAATTAAGAATATTTTTTTGGTCAATAATAACCTTATTTAATGAAGATAGAGATGAATGTTTTGAGAAAAAATGAAGAGTGAATATGAAGAGGCATAATGTATTTATTGGCTAAATGAGGGTAATAATGGAAAAAATATGTACAAAAGATTCAAAATAATATTTATTTGACAAATAGTTGAAAAAACTAAAATGACATTTAAAAAAAATAGGAGGGAGTACTATAAAAATGAGGGGCTAAGCGGAAATTTTGAAAGAACATGGGCTCACGTCTTAAATTTCAAGTGCATTGTCTGTAAATATTTAAAAACTCAAGTGTCCTAATTTAATACAACACATTTCCAGGCTGTCTTAACTTTATTTTAAGTTTGCATTAATCAAATGAAAAATTCAACTTTTGCTGATTCCCGAGATTTGAAGAAAAGTATAATGTGTTGATCACAAAAGGGAGCATGAAAAAATAATGATCTTACATATATCAAACTTATTAAGTACACTTAATTAAGCTAGGTCCTTTACTTTAGACCCAAGACAAAGGAGAACCGGGTCAGTTTCCGGGTCACCGTATGAATTTATTGCTCATCATTAAGGAGTCAAATTGTGGGGAGATTCAACTATACGACGGTTACATGATGATCTAAATATTATAAATCCCGACGGAATGGTTCCGTAACGAGACTCTAGCATTTTCCCAAATTGCGTTTATATTGTTCCTTTTTATTATCTATTTTATTTATTTAAACATTACTAAAATATTAAAATTATTATTTTGTGTTTTGCTTATCGTATTCGTTTTTAGTGTCGTCTAGTGTGGATTCGACCCACGCCTCTAATTTTATTGGCTCGTCTCAATATATTTATCCTTTATTCTTATCTTATATAATTGTCATTTTTTTCATTAAAAAAAGGCATAAATAGTTATTAGTGTTATAATACATGGTCATAATTTACCAAAAACATTAAAATAATTTATATGCCTAGTTGGTATTTTTCAATAATTGCCAGCTCATGCAATCCTTAATCATTTCAATAAGTACCCCACTCCTTTTCTAATGGAACAATTATTAAACTTAAATATGAAGGTAAAATTAAAAAAAAAAAAAACTTAAATAAATAAATAAATAAATAGACAACATTATAAACCTAAAACATTTTTTAAACCCTTTTCATTATACTTGTAAGTTGTAACTATACTAATTTATTATTATTGAAAAAAAAAACAAATTGACCTTGTAATTATCAATCTGCATGTGCATTATAAACGAGCCGATCGAGCTCGAGACTTTATTGAGCTGAGTCCAGCTCGGCTTGTTAACTATATGAGTCGATCAATGAACTGATCAAGTTCGACCCAATTACTTATATAAAATTACGAAAATAAATCTTATTTTCGAATCTTTACGAGCCGACTCGATAACGAGACGAGCTTTATACAAGCTCAAGCTACTTCTTATATATCCACACACTTTCAAATTAAACTCATAAAAGTTAACTAAAACACATGCAAATAATTCTCATAATAATCTTTCAACCAAATCATAAGGAAAAACAAAATGAAAATAAATCAATATATAACTTTCACTTACCCTGGACAAGAGGCATATCATGGACTGCATTTGGTTTCTCCCCACAGAATCCCCCACAAAAGCCATGGACTTATCTCGGGCCATATCCAGGAACTGAAACGGGTTGAAAACGGGCAATTCGCACCCGTCGGGCTTCCATCTCCACTTCAAGAAATCCGAATCGGGCCGCCCGTATTTCATGCAGTTTTGGTGCTCGTGTATTGCCCAACACGTCTCGTTCGTGTAGTAAGGGGCGTCCGGGTTCGGCACCCATTCGCCCGTGAAAATGTCGCATTTTTCGACATCGTCCGGGATTTTGATGTCGCGGTACGAAGGCCCGATTAATCCCGAGTTTTTGAAGGTGGATAGAGGGGAGGAGGATTCATTATCCTTGAGGATGGGATAGTGGAGGCGGATAATGGTGATGAGGATTAATGCTATTGCAAGGAGTATGACTATGTTTTTTAATTTTTTGTTTACATGTTGTTGCTCCATGTTTTTTATTTTTTTGGAGGTTGAGGAATGTGTGGGGAGAAATGAAAGGATTGTAATGATGTTTTGGGTAAGTGGTGATGAAAGAGTTAGCAAAGATTGGTTGTATACTTGTATTGTATATATCACTTTCATGTGCTATACTATATATATAATATAATATGAAGAATTAAAAAAAATGGAAAAGAAAAAATCATTTGTTTTGGTAACAAGTTGGTCAGATGCTTTTATTTTTACTAGTATCTTCACCCGTGCGATGCACGGAGCATATTTATTAAAATATTTTAATAAATATATTAAAAAATATATATATATATCATAAAAAGTAAATGACAAATAAATAACATTATTAATGAATAGATAGTAAAAGTACAATATTATATGGTATTACAAATTTTGAAAAATTTCTTGATAGACAACATTTTTAGTAGTTTTCTTTTTCCCACTATCGTCCCCCCACATATTAATATCTTCAATCCATGTGGATTAGTGACTCGAGACACATCAACGTATAATTGATCATGACTAATAAATACGGGTCTTTCATGTAAAGTCCGACATGGGATTACGACTGCTCTTGACTCTTGTTGATTGTCATTGCGTAAGAAAACATAAGAGTAAATTGTCTATGTTGTAACTTGAAGGGTATCTGAGATCAGATGGAGTTAGGGAAAATCTTGATACCAATACCTTATGTCCAGCATTTGATCCTGTTAGAATCTTACATTCAAACACGTGAGTGAAAAGCTTCGGTATCACCAAGCGTGTTCCATTACACAGTCCAATCGAATGGTTAATGTTTCTCAACAACATGACATAAGTCCCAACCTTTAAGTGCAATTCATGATTTGGAACACCAGAACATTTTATACTATTTAAGAACTCCTGAGTGTGCATGTCATGCAAGAAATCAACACTACCATCGGATTTGAATATGAGAGAACAATACACAAAATTTGGATATGAGATTTATAGCGTGAATTACTCCTATTCTGTACTCGAGTATCTTGGTAAGTTTGGATGTATTTTGTTAAGGATTCACCAATAATAATGCTTAATTTTTATTGACATTAATATGATTCAAGTATTTTGTTAAGCATTCACCGGCAAAATTTAAAAAATGATACATTAAGTTGGCGTTGTCAACAAAACAGACATTTTGTTGTCCCTCACGGAAGGAAATATTTAGTTGACAATTTGGTCGGAAAAGATACATTAATCACTCAACTTGGATAAAAAATTGAAGTAGTCGGATTAGAAAATGACGTGACATTATAAATTTCCTTAATTTCCTACGTGTTATATACGTGGCGTTATGTGTCATCCTTCTCTCCAAGTACACAACTACACATACATAAATAAAAATAAAAATAATCAAAAAATAAATAAATAATAAAAACACATCAGAAAAAATATAGTAATAATAATAATAAATAGAAAAAAATCCAAAAAAATAATAAAAAAAAAAGAAAAAATATATTTTATTCTATTTTGTCAACTATATATTAATAAAATATTTAAAAAAAAATTTATATTTGTTAATATATATTAAAAATATGAAGATATTTCGTTAATATTTCGTTTCATATAATATTTCACTAATATATATTAAAAAATACTAAAAAAAGAAAAATGAAGTTCATTAATAATAATAATTATACTATCTAATATAACACTTTACATAATATTTTATTTATTTAATATATATAAGTATATTAAATATAAATATAAATCACAAGTATAAATTTATATTTAAATAAATAAAAATATATTTTTTTAGATATATATTTTTGAAATAAATTAAAATATATTATATAAATTTATATTTTGTGATTTATATTTATATTTAATACTTATATATATTAAGTAAATAAAATTTTATGTAAACTACTATATTAGATAATATAATTAATAATAAATTATATATAATAATTATTATTAACAAAATATTTTTTAATATATATTCGAGAATATATTTATATTTAACGAAATATTAACAAAATATTCTTATTAACGAAATATTAACAAAGTACTTTTTATTTTTTAATAATTTTTAATATATATTAACGAAATATAATTTTAAAAATATTTTATTAATATATAGTTAAGGAAATAGAACGAAATATTTTTTTTTTGGATTTTTATTAAATTTCTATTTATTTATTTTTTTTATTATTATAATTATTTTTTTTGCTGATGTCTTTATATTTATTTAATTTTGGATTTTTTTTATTTTATTTTTATTTATCTATGTGTAGTTGTGTATTTTGAGATAATGATGTCACATCACGCCGAAGTTTGCTTTTGTGCAAAAAAAGTTTTTTTTCTCTCATCGGAGAGCGATTCCATTCTCTCATCGGAGAGCGATTCCCAGTTAACCTACTGATCGGAGCTTTCATTCTCAGATCTTGCCTCTCTTAGTGTGTCTTCCTTCTCTCGATCTCTTATTTTCCTTCTGGCCTTGCTTCCTTTCTATTCTAGAGTCTTTGGGGATCTAGGGTTTCTCTTCTATATTTCGGGTGCGGAGATGGCCAGTCAATCTTTCATTGGCCAAGACGATGATCTTGCTAATCGGCTGGAAGTCTTCTCTTTGACGGAGACAGAGAACGTGATGGTAGATCTAGCCTCGGCTGATATCAAATACAGTGCTGAAGAATGTCATAAAAGTCTTTTCGGTAAGATTATCGGAGACCGTCCGGTGAGTTGGATGGGAGTGAAACTTACAATGGGCTCTGTATGGAAGATCAAACAACCAATGGAGGTTAAAGAATTAGCTTCAAATTTCTTCCAATTTATATTTCAAAGCAAGGAGGATATGGACAGAGTTGCTCGGGGTACAAACTGGACCTTAGACAATCAATTTCTCCTTCTTTCAGAGTGGAAGGAGCGTTTATCGGCGACCCATCCGGTTTTTCTTGAACTGCCAATCTGGGTACAAGTCTTCAACGTCCCTTTAAATTGGCTGAGTATGGATGTAGGGTTGAAGATAGGTAAGGTTTTCCCTAAGCTCAATAATGTGGTTGTGGCGGGGGCAGGCAGTCACGGGGGTAAAATCCTCAGGTTACTGGTTTCCATCAACTTGACAGAACCTCTTCCCAGCTGTGCCTCTGTCAAGTTGAGAGAAGAAGTTATCAAAATCAGCTTTAAGTACGAAAAATTGGTGAACATGTGTAATTACTGTGGGTTTATAGGTCATCTCGACAGAAGCTGTAAGAAGAAGATTGATGATATTGCCAAAAACTCATTGAAGATGGGACAATACGGTGATTGGATGAGAGCGCCAGATTTCTTGCAGTGGGCCAACACCAATAGTTCCAACTCTCAACCTCAATCAGGCTCCCCGTCCAATCCAGCAAATGCTTCTCCTCCCACCACATCTGCAAGTCACCTCCGAGAACAAAATCAACTTCTAGCAATTGATAACGTAGCAAATCGGAGCACTCCTTTGGAAGTGCAGGACTCTAGCGGCCCTATCTTCAAATCATCAAGCAAGGAATTGGTAGGGCAGATCCTTAGTGATGCTGCCTCATCTGAAGACATGATTTTTAACAGTTCTAAGTCAGTATTCAAGGAACCTGCTGGTATTGCAATCAAAGATCCTCACACCCCTCTGGACCAGAGGCTTTCGATAATCAGAAATCAAGACCAACAGATGATTGCCATAGCCTCAAGTTCTGAACCTGACCTCATCATGCCAGATCTTCAAGTTAAAACTCTTAAAACCTGAAAACGTGCTCCTCGCAAGGATGGCAGACTTTCCAGACAAGAAGACCAGCAGTTAGCAATCGTTTCTGCTGTCTCAGGCAAAAGGGACATACAAGAACTCAACTCTGCAGACGAGAATTCTCCCATTGATACTTGTAATCCAGAAGGCTCTAAGAAGCACAAGTCAGACTCACCAAAGGTGGAGGTGGCCAGCCTCGAATGGCGCCCAAGTGACCGATGTTAGCTGCGGTGTGGAACTGTCGAGGACTGGGTGGGCCCTCGACGGTTTCCCAAATCAAAGAGACTTTTAGATCTCACCACCCCCCTTTTCTTTTTTCTCTCCGGAACTAAAAATTCTTCTTCTTTTGTTAAGTCTGTTGCTAAAAAACAGGGTTTTGTTGATAGGCATGTGTTGGTCGACCCAGTGGGTATGAGTGGCGATCTATTACTCCTCTGGTCTTCTGAGGTCTCTATTGTCCAAACAATTTGTTACCCTTGCTTCATTGCGGTGGAATTCTCGGTGATGAATGGGGAGGTTATCTGGGCAATATTCGTATATCTCAGCACTTGTGCTGCAACTCGCAATGAACAATGGCAGCTGCTGGAAGCCGAAAAACATAAATGGAAGGACAAATGGTTCATCATAGGCGGCTGGAACGATATCCGCTCTAACTCTGACAAATCAGGCGGCTCTCCAAGGATTCCCAGAAGTCTAGCTGGATTTAACAACTTCATCAATTCTATGTCTACGGAAGAAATCAGAATGACAGGATACAAATTCACTTGGAGTAATCATCGTCCCATGGAAGGCCTTATTCAAGAGAAGCTGGATAGGGGTTTCGGATCTTTGGATTGGCTTCAACAATATCCAAACGTCTACATCCAATCTGTCTCCCGCTGTGCATCTGATCATTCTTTGCTCCTCCTTAGCACAGGCGCTCCCTTGAAGAAACCTCAACGCAGATTCCATTTTGACAAACGCTGGTTGTTGAAAGAAGATGTTTTCGATATTGTGAAAGCCGCTTGGAGTCTCAGCTATTCAGGAACCCCTTTCTATCAATTGAAGGAAAAAATTAAAGGTACCAGACTAGCCCTTATCAAATGGAGCTCCAAATTTAAATCTGAAAATCAGTTCAAGATCGATAGTCTCAACTCTAAGCTGGAGACGCTGAGCAACGAGGATCTGGCTAGCAACTGGGATGACTATGTCTCAACAAAAGCTTCCCTTGACCAAGCTTATCGTTCTGAGGAGATGTACTGGCAACAAAAAGCCAAGGTGAAATGGCTCAAGGAAGGAG